AAAATTTCTCAGATCTGCCCGTTTCCTTTCCAGCATCATCTCTTGGTGTCTTGATTCTGTCCTCTGCCTCTTCCCCTTCCACTTGTCTAAGCCTTGTTCATCCTTCGAGTCTCACTTAGTCTCACGTCGTCCTTGAGTGTCCCTCTCGCTCCCTGTGTTCAGTGCTGTTGCCTTATCTCCCCACTGTGCCTTCTTCTCTCTCCCCGTCACCTTCTTGTAGTTTCTTGTTGGTCTTTGCTGCTAGAATGCAGACTCTGGAAAGGGCAGCGGGCTGTAATTCACCATCGAACCTTTCCACCTACTTTGGTGTGTGCACAAATTAAGTATCCGATAAATACTTATTGCTTATGTAAATCAATAAAGGAAGAATACCCATTTGGGGATCAGATTATTTCTATTGATGTGCTTGGAGTTTGAGTTACATTATATTTTATATTTATATCTATATTATCACATATATAATATTGATACTAATACACAGTACTATTAAAAGAGCTAAGATATTAAACAGTAATACTTTGCTTTAAAAAATATTTTCAGAATCATCTGAGAAAAATGTAATGGATGAAGAGCACCTTACTCTTATTGAGAAGGTTGAAAAGAAGAGATGTGAAATACTCAATAAATGTGACGAAATTCAAGCTCTTAAAAAAGAAATTAAAACAACTTTGGTTCATACTGGAATTTCAGATATCACTGAGAATAGGGTTAAAAGCATAGAGGTATGCAATTTATTTATCTAAATGTTACATTATTCTTTTTCTTAAAGACCTTGGCAAATATACAAAGCAATTTGATCTGTAATAGGGTAAAAAATATTATTAAATTTGGTCCAAATATATTTTCATTGAAAACGTTTGTAGCAAATAGAGTACTGTAATTAATATCTAGCTAAATCAACAAAAATGAAGGTGATAAAAAATTCTACAGAGCTCTGTTAATGATGAGAGATTAATTTTTATTTGTGCAGAATCTGACTAAATGTAAACTCTATTTATAGAGTTTATAAGTGATATGTGATTATTCTTTTTTCTTGTGGTTATATAGTTGCATATATTTTCTCAGGATTGCTTTTTTTTTTTTTTAGCAAAATTATAAAGTGCTAAAAAAAAAGGGTGGTGATATCCAAACTTTTTTAGTTCTCTCCCTCTCTTTTCAGATAATATGTTCAGAATTTCTTCTGTGTTTTTTGTTTAAGGTTTACTCTCTTTTCTTTCTTTTCTTAAAAACTAAATACTGTCTTGAGAACAAAGACTAATTTATAGTTAAATATTTAAACAGTTAATGTAATGACATATATATATATATATATATATATATATATATATATGTCATTACATTAACTGTTTAAATATTTAACTATAAATTAGTCTTTGTTCTCAAGACAGTATTTAGTTTTTAAGAAAAGAAAGAAAAGAGAGTAAACCTTAAACAAAAAACACAGAAGAAATTCTGAACATATATATATATATATTGCATGAGTATGATAATGTCAAAATCATGAAAACTTTTCTTTCATAATTAAAATCTCTTTAAATGGTTGAATCTGGGAAATAGACTCTCTATAATGATTCCACATTTCTAGTTTATACTACTTTATTTACTGTTTACATTTGGCTTCTTAATTCAAATGCTGGAATGTACAATAGAAATGTATTTATTCTCCTATTAAGTAATTAGTTTCGGTTCTAGATTTGAAATATGCCATTTCTAACAACAACAACAACAACAACAAAAAGCTAAATGTATTGAGGTTTACATGAGTCAGGCAGTGCTATGAACATCTAAAAAAATAACGATTTCATGTAATTCTCAACAACCATAAGGGACAGCGGCTAATATTAACCCTATATTACAGGTAAGAAAATGAGGCATGAATATGGTAAGTCACTTTATTAAGGTCACAGTTAGCAAGTAGTAAAGCCTGCATTCAGACTCAGCCTGGGATTTTAATTATAAACTGTCCTGCCTTGCTGTTATGATTGCTACTTCTTTTTCACATACTGGATATCTGGAAGATCAAGTCTTTACACCCCCTGCCCATCATTGTTTTGTTCACAGTTATCTTGGATATTCTCATTCACACTATTGACTAATTTTTCAAGTTCCATTAATAATACTCTTGGCATTTTGCTTGTGCTTAGAATAAATTTATAAATTCATTTGGGAGGAAGTGACAGCTTTATAATACTAACATTTCTGTACAGGATCATTTTATATTTATTTAACTTATTTTCATGCCTTGACATTCAACACTTTTTGTTGTGTTTATTTTTATGACTTTATGGGATCTGTTGCTATTACAAATGCAAACTTAAAAACATTTTACATTACAGTTTATAACTAGTCATTGCTGGTATATATGCGACTTACTGGCATTTGTATTTTTATATTATATCCAGCCACTTTAGCAAACTTTATTATTACTTCTGAAAAATGAGAAACTTTTCTGGAATTTCTAAAAATTTTTTTTAATCTTTTGAAACATCAATCCCCACCTCTTCTAGTTTATGACCCAGAGGGCCAGGATCTTTCTTTCTTATCATTTGTCCTTCATTTTTTGCTTTGTTTATTTATTTGTTTTTAGCTGATGTGTTACTGAGTACTCTTGAAATTATAACAGCATTCACATAATACTTTTTGTTTCATACAAAGAGAAAAATAATTAAAGTATTCTTAACCAAGGATCTTGCTTTTAAAACCATTTCTCCTTCAGATTGAAGCTATAAAATTGGAGACAGCAAATAGAACTTTAATAAAGAAAATAGAAGTAAGTTTTTGTGTCTGTGAATCAGTGTTTATCAATAGAAATATTTCCTCTAATGCCTGCTTGTCCTGTGTCTTAAACCAAATAATAATATATGCATTCTTTTTCTAAATAATAACTTCCTATAATGCTAGGAATATCTGGCTATGCAGACATGAGATTAAAACCGAACAGGTGAAAGCTAATGCATTAATAAAAAAAAATTAAACATTTGGTTTTAATGGTTGAATGAGCCAATAAGAACTGACCATTTCTTTGGCCCCTTCACACATTACAATTCAATGTAATGAGTGTATTTTGTGACAAGGAATATGATAAACTAGTTCTCCTTATGACTTTTAGGGTACTCCTCTGAAATACATGATAGCAAGTTGTTGCTTATAGTTCTGCTTCTATTACACATGTATATCTCTCTATTATGTATAATGTGAAATAGTTGTATGTTATACCTGATTCTAGAAGAATCAGGATTCAGTATTATTGCCATTATGCATGACCAATATCATGCAATTATATGTTGACCAAATGACTTTTAATTCTTGGTAGGTTATTGAAAACCATGTAAAGCAGACTATGGGAAGGAGTAAGATTAGTGAGGAGGAGCAGCAGTAAGTATTGAAACCATGATTAAAAAAACTTGAACAATGTCATGCTATTCTCAAAACCATTCATTCCAGACTAGATTAGATTAGACAGAACTTTAAAGTGCTCACAGTCATGAATGTTAACTTTAAATATACATTTCACTCTTTTCTGTGCTTAAGAATGCCTAATCTAAGATTTAAACCTCAACTTGTACATATTATTTAGTAATATTAAAATAAATCCATTGGGAAATGCTGAAGAGTTGAGGGTGAAATCTCATGGGCAGAGATTAGGAGAGTGGGGAGGCATGTGGCTGTAGGTAGCTTTCTTTTCTCAAATTTTATAGCTTTTAGAGTTTTTAAATCCTTAAAAACCCTATATACATATATTACTCTGAAAGTTTTAATTTAAGAAGGAAGTGCTTCACTAATATTATCTTTTATATAAGTTTATACTTTATAAAGTTACTTTTCTTGGAGCTGGTACTACTGTTCCAGTCTCTGGATTTGGTCTGACTGGGAGCTACAGAAAACTGTACAATGATTTAAATCCAGAAAGGCTGATTTTTGTCAACAGTGAAAATAATTAGATGTTGGTTGCCTGGGCTCAGTGATATTATCAAAGAACTAGGCTTCTTCTGTCGTCCATCCCTCTTTTCCTTTGAGTGTGGATTTCCTCTTCAGAGTCTCTATATGGCTGCCCTCATGCACAAGGTTCATCTTCCATGGAGGAAGAAAGGGGAAGATGAAAAATAGATGATAAAGTGCTTCTCATATGAAGCTTTTTTGTGTTATTTATTTATTTTTTTATTTTTTCCTTTTTGTCTTTTTTTTTTACTGACTAGTAATGGGATCACAACCCTCAGTGTCGCGCCCGCACTGCGCTCAGCCAGTGAGTGGGAACCGGTCTCCACATGGGATCCAAACCCTCGGCGGGAGCGCCGCCGCGCTCTCAAGCAGCGCACTCTCCAGTGCGCCACTGGGCCAGCCCTTTTTTGTGTTATTTAGCAAGGAAAGCTCTATCTAGGGATTCCCACCCCTATCTCATTGGCTAGCACCATTTCCAAGGCCATTTTTTCAGGGAGGCTAGAAAATAGGACATTCTGGTTTGCAGACCACATGGTATAGACAGCCACATGAGCAAGGTGTTGGAACGAGGGCGGAGTGAGCCATGAGGTGGGTCCAGGAGTGTGGTTCCGTATATCATTTTGGGTGTCCTCAAAGGAAAAAAATATAATCACAGATACAAAATTGGGGAGGCTCCTCCCACACCCTTGGCAATGAGAGCAAACAGAACTTACATTTAAACAGCGTTATCCTCATGGTGGTTCTGCCTCTTTTGCTGCACTGTACTTGGTCTGGGAAATAAAATATATGCCCATATATTCAGAGCATCTTTGTTACAGTCAAGGCTAAAACTCTACTAAAAATATCCTTTAAAACAAAAATAGTCAAGTACAAAGTATCATCTTGTCTGTTTTTGGATAAATGTTTCCTAAAATAGGTATTTATCTTGAAATTTTCTTTTGTGCGTAATGTACTTTTCCCCTAATCTACTGTATTCATTTGTTTATTTTAAGGAAACTGTGGAAATTTATTAAGGAATTTGTAAACTTAGAAGAAACAGATAATAACTCTGAAATGACTGGAAAACTGACTTGTGAAAATTCACAACTGCCTTGTACATAGTGTGAATGTTTGCAAAAAAGTGATGGATACATTTCATTTTGTCAGCTTTAACCCCTAATAAAATTAATGTGATATGTGTCCTACTCAAGATATTGATATAAATCCATGTGCGCATGTGGTTAGCTTTACTTTTGTATGCATATTCATAACAATACTAGTTCTCAGAGTATTTTCTGCTTTCATTTGACAACTTTCCCCCCGGGAAAAATACTTTTGATTATTTGATAAGAATAAGAAATTCAGCACTGCTGTAATAAAATCAAATGTGTTTATAAGCCAACACAAATTTTTATATATGCATTTAATAAAATTGAGAGGTGATCTAATTAATATTAATTTAATTAAACAATCTTTCCTGATTGGAAGTGATCCCACAATGCCATGGTGTTTTGCACTTCCCAGATCTCAGCTGATTGTGAGGCTTGCGAAAGCCTTGTGACTTGCGCTTGTTTCATTCCCACTTAGCCTATAATCTCGTCTAAGCGTCTAGAGCAAATGCAAGTTTGACTTCTTTGAACAACCATGTGTAGGGCTATTTTGAAGATCAGATGTAAGTGGTGAAATACAAATACATGTGATTCAGTCCTAACTTGGAATAGTAGAGTTTAGCATTTGGGGGGTGAGGGTTGGGGACAGAGAGAGAAGCAGCTTCGCTTTCTGTGGATCGGGAGATCACTGCCTGGTTTAGATCTATCAGCTCTCCCTGGGGCATGATTCACTCTGCTTTTAGAGATAGAATGGTGGCAGCAACTTACAATTTTTACTATGTATTGAAATTAACTGGACTTTGTTAATGTTTATTGAGGTCTCTATGTTTAAGTTGTGTTCTACTCGTTATTTACATCCACTGAAAGCCTTCTAAGTAGACATAATATCTTCCATTATATAGGGTAGAGAACTGAAATGTGAAGAGGTGGATTGATTTGCTTAAACTACTCTGTAAATAGGAGATCTGGGTCTGGACCCAGGTTTGGCTGACTCAATTCCTAGACTCCCATCACCACATCTGGTTGTGTCATTTACATACATCACAGTAGAGATATAGGAAAATGAATTTGTGAATTGTCAAAGTGACAGAACAGTAGAACTAAAAACAAACAAAGCTGAATTTATTTGCTTGCCAAGCAAGGGAGAGTCACTCACTTGAGAGGTTCAGGGAGTATCCAACTTGAAAGTAAAGAGCTGGTGGTATAGGCAGAAGGGGTGTGCGAGTCCAAATCCAGGGGGCTGTAGGCAGTAGGTTCTGAACATATTTGTGGTGGGGGTGAGGAGGCTGAAAGTCCTTTTTTTGGATTGGCCATGATTATGGCTCATGTCACAAAAGCACTGTCTTTAAAGAACTATGAGGGGGGTTATAATAAAGGTTTGTCAAGATCAGAGTCTTGTAGCAGGTGCCTTGATAAGTGCATCCTTGGGACTGATAAATATATATTTCTTAAAAAAGCAGGTAAGTAACCCTACTGTTCATACTTTTATTCAAGCAAAATTCATTATATCAACATTCAAGTATATTTCAGACCGTTTTCCAGTATTTGGGAGTATGGAAATTAATAAGACATGGTCCAAATTTTTAGGAAGTTTACAGTTTGTTTTACAGACCTGTGAGAAGAATAACAACCAAAAGACAGTCTGATAAAGCTAAGTGCATGCAAGGATGTGAAAGGGCAAACTCTTACCCTCTGCTGGAGCAAGTGTAAATTGATATAAAATACAAGAATCTTATTGTGTGTTTAATATTGATAATGAATTCATAGATTTTAGTTATTTTCTATGCAGTACTATATAGTAATTATTATACTATCTAACAATAATTAAGCACTTGACATATACTAGACAGTATTCTATACACTTGACCTGTATTAATTTATTTCATTCTCACATGACCCTACCTGGTAGGTTACACTTATCATTTTCATTTTATAGATGAGGAAACTAGTTATTTTAAATGTTTCATAATGTAAGTTAAATACATTTAATAAAGTAATGAATGCAATAACTTATTCTGGGTCTCTGATGTGTTTGTTAATAGCATAAGGAAAGTACAATGATGGACTCAAAAGATTGATTCATTAACACATCCATGGGGGAGAAGGATCGGAAACGCTTAATAACCTTTGTCTTTTGGAAGATGAATCTTGAAAGATGAGCAGCCCTGATGGGAATGATGTTTTTAGTTAAAGAAAGCAGTGTGAATAAAAAAGCAAGGATTTTGCCTCTGGTTTGGATGGTGGTGATGGTGGTGGTCGGTAGTTGTGCTGTGGAGGTGGTGGTGGAAGTAGAGATAATGGTGGTGATAGTAGAGGTGGTGACGGTGGAGGAGGAGGAAATGGTGGTGATGATGGAGGTGGTGATGGTGGAGGTGGTAATGATGGAGGTGGATGTAATGGTGGTGATGGTGGAGGTGGAGGAGGCGGCAATGGTCATGATGGTGGAGGTGGTGATGATGGAGGTGGTGATGTTGGTGATGGTGGAGGAGAAGGCAATGGTGGTGATGGAGGTGGTGATGGTGGAGGTGGTGATGGTGGAGGTTGAGGTGATGGTGGAGGTGGTAATGGTGGAGGAGGAGGATTGTGGTGATGGTGGAGGTGGTGATGATGGAGGTGGTGATGTTGGTGATGGAGGAGAAGGCAATGGTGGTGATGGAGGTGGTGATGGTGGAGGTGGAGGTGATGGTGGTGATGGTGGAGGTGGTAATGGTGGAGGAGGAGGCAATTGTGATGGTAGAGGTGGAGGTGATGGTGGAGGTGATGTTGGTGATGGTGGAGGTGGAGGTGATGGTGGAGGTGGAGGTGATGGTGGAGGTGGAGGTGGTGGTGATGGAGGTGGAGGTGATGGTGGTGATGGTGGAGGTGGTGATGGTGGTGGTGGAGGTGAAGGTGATGGTGGTGATGGTCAAGGTGGTAATGGCATTAGCCCCTAACGAGAGAGTCAGCCTGTCCTTTGAAGCTTTAGACCAGGGGCACTGACTTCTTCCTAGCTAATGCTGTAGTTTTAACACATGTACGATGGCTATGTAAGACATGAACGTTGGGAGAATTTGGGTGAAGGTATTTAGGAACTCTCTATGCTATTTTTGTAACTTTTTAGTACATCTAAAATAATTCCAAAATAAAATGTTAATAAGATACCAAGGTCATATGTTAATTTAAAAGTGAAGAAGCCCAGGGGTAGGCAGTTCCAGAGTTACTTCAGTCCTTCAACAGTGTCATCAGATTTCCAAGTTCTTTCCATGATCCTGCCATCCTAGTATTTTGGCTTCACATGCAAGTTTATTCTCCCATGGTAAATTGGTGGAAGAAAAGAGATATTACATGTTATTCCTCTCTCTTATTAAGAAGGAAAGTCTTTCTTAGGAGCTATCAACAGATCTCCCAGGACAGATCTGGTGGATGCCCAAACTCTACTGCGGGAGAGCCTGCTGCCACCGTCAGGGCCGGGCGGAGAGAGGGACCCTTAGATTAGCCTAACTCGAGGACAGCCTGATTACTCAGAGCTATGTACAGAGGTGTGGCAGTGGGGACCTGCAGCGCTAGGGCAGTAAGCATGACGCTGCTTTTGGAGTGTTTGCACAGGAGGGCAAAGGGATGTGGGGAGGGGACAGTTATCAGAGGCAGTGTCTGGTAAAGGTGACCACCTGAGGAAGAGCGGGCCGGCGAGCCCAGGTGAACCCCACGGAGAGGGATCGTTGCCTGCTCTGGTCACGCTCGTGCCTCTTCTGGTCTCTGCAGCGCAGACCTTCAGCAATCCCAACCCGGAAGAGGGTGGGAACAGCTGGGCTTTCCAGGGAGGGGAGCTGGGTGCACCCGAGGAGGCCCGCGAAGGCGTCTGGCACAACAGGGAAACTGAGAACCTGGCATTTGCAGCCCCTACAGTGGGAGGCGGGGAGGGCGTGGGCGAGCAGCCTGGTGCCGCCAGCGCTCTGCACTGGCAGGGTGGCCCCCCGCAGCCCCCACACCGACAGGGAGGCCCCTTTCAGAGCCCCGCAGGGACAGGGTGGCCCCCTGCAGCCCCCACACAGGCAGGGGGGCCCCCCGCAGCCCCCACACCGACAGGGTGGCCCCTTTCAGAGCCCCGCAGGGACAGGGTGGCCCCCTGCAGCCCCCACACAGGCAGGATGGCCTCCCGCAGAGCCCCGCAGGGACAGGGTGGCCTCCCTCAGAGCCCTGCATGGACCGGGTGGCCCCGCGCAGTGGCGCTCACCTCCCTCCGTCAGTTTCTCCCTCCATGAAATGACAACGAAGACCATCGACCCCTCCTTCAGGGCTTATTTAGGGATTAAGCACGTAACACACCGCCTGGACTGCAGCAAACAGTCGGTGAGCGTGAGCTAGAGTTAGTGCGACTCCTGCGAGTCTCTTTCCTGACCTGACCCCTTTCCCTGCACTCAGTGTGCTGGCAGCCTCGATGGGCGTCAGCATCACTGGGGACTTGATAGAAATGCAGATTCCAGGCCCATCCCAGACAACCCAGGCTTCAGGGGCCCTCAGGTGGTTCTCCAGGTGCGCTCCCGGCCCGTGGGGGAGGGGGGCTGCAGGCGGGAGTGACGGTGGGGGCTTAGGGTCTGCGGTTTGACATTTGGCACCTAAGTCAGCCTTCCAGTGTGCGCGCCTCTGGTGTGCGGGGACAGGAGCGCTGTGATGAGGACTGACCCAGGAACATGGTGAAGAGTCCTGGGGAGCCCTGGAGGTGCTCGGGAGAGGGGGGCCTGCAAAGCACTCGCGTTCCTGGACATGGAGTGTGAGGAGCTGAGTCTCTTTCCATCAGGACAGCAGGTCTGAGTGTGACCCCAGCTCCCTTCACGCTGAGGGACAAGCCTGGAGAGCTGGAGAAGGATGATGGTCTTAGGACTGAGTGTCCACATTTATTTCTGTAACAAGGTCACTGTCACCGGCAGTCTTTGCTGATGTGGAGA